TAACTTTGATTATTTGAATAAAATATTTCGTTTGTAAAAAACCGTAACCCTTAGTCAAAACATGTGTAAACTTGAACATGATCGCAAAGTGAGACCTATATAATCGACAAAAGTACTGTGAGTTTCCATTGCCGTAACGCAGAAAAATACATTATCTGACAGTCTTTTTTTATATGTTAGAATAAGGCAAAAGTCCTGCGGGATCACCAAGATATTCGACGCCCATAGACATTTTTAACATTAGTGGAACTGCAGATGCTTTGCCGGCCTTTAAAAAAAATAAGCTCGCCTCTTTATCTCTTTGAAAAGCAACCAGAGATAATGATGCATGTGAGTTACCGCAGCGTAAACTCACACTAAAAATAAATTTAAAATAAAACGTTTAATGTCATAACATTCAGAGAGTTAGATAAGGTTTACGTAATTGCTTATATTATCGACTTACGAGCATTGGATCGCGTAACAAGGAAACAAATGCTACAATAATCATTATAATTACATCTTGAACTTTGAATGTCGCAATAAATATGAACTGAATAAGTACTTCCTTTTATTTCTCTACAATAAGAAATTAAAATTAATGATACTAGAAAGTGAAAATGTATTAATTTTTAAATATTTACATAATTAATATTAACTAAAGAGATTAAAGTAGCACGGATACATCGATTTCTCTTGACCTAAATCCGTTGGTCAAGGCCATGTCGGCCGCTACAGACTGCCACTGGAATATTGTTAATCTTCTAATCCGTAAAAAATGCATTCAAACCTCACAAACGACTAAAATCAAGACATCATTGTTAAACACACACGCAATGTAACATATTTTTATTGTGCTTTTTACTTCTGTCATTTCCAAGTTACACACTGTTCGGTAATATGTATTGACAAGCTATTGAGCTTATCCAACCACGTTAGTAAAAAGACATTATCTTACTAATATAAATGCGAAAGTTTAGATTGATGGATGGATGGATGTTTGAAGGTATCTCTGGAACGGCTAAATGGATCTCGATGAAATTTGACATACATAGAGAATATAGTCTGGAAGAACGCGTAGGCTACTAATTATGTTTTTTTTTTAATTCCGGGCGGACGGGGTCACGGGCGATAGCTAGTAAGTTACAATCAGTAAGTATAAAAGAATATCCGCTGTCGTTGTGCTATGTAACTGTAAAATGCTTTTGGTAACAGTGTGAGAAAAAAGGGAAAGCAAATGATTGAGTTAAAATTATTAAAAAACAAAAAGTCAAATATTTAAGGTGAAGTTTACTTAAAAATTTACAGTTACATATAGGTTAGAATCCTAAAAAGTTTTTCACTAATGTCAATTAACTTTACATGTAATTTTATACATAATTTTCGATACCACAATATACGCATAATCAATGATTGTATGAATCGTTATTTTTTAAATCGATGACGATGGAATGTTTTAAGCACAACATAACTGTAAGTGTACTAATAAAAATAAACGCGTGTCCGCGAGTCGAGCTCGGGCAAGCGAAGTCGTCGTGGCCGCGGTGTTAACCCAATTCCGAGGTATCGCTTTCACAACGCGTTGCGTCATCTAGCGGCGAGCTGCGGAGATGTACGCTGCGAACTTGTCTCTCGCATTGTTAGCGTTGCGTAATTGTAAACCAACAGAACTTATTTATTTGTGATTTGATGGTGTATAGCTGCTTAGTTAAAGAAAGGATTCGTATTCCTATCAAATATTGAACTTACCATATTATTTCGTTAAGCTTACTTAAGTAATAAAATTAACTTTGCAGTTTACTTTTTGTTTAGCTGAAAGAAGCTCGTTTTTTGTTCATTGAATATTCTTCGTTCATTTAATTTTTACTATGTTTTCTCTTTCGCTTTAGACAAATTTAATAAATTGAAGCTAACCTTCATGCCAATAAATATTAGTTTTTAAATTGTAAATGAAAAAATGTCAATTAATAAGTGAAAGCCAAAAGTCGAATATAGAACACTTTTTCAATTGTACCGCATTCCTATAAATGTCGACACTATTAAAGATTCATTCAACATTCCTTTCCTTTAAAAGAAAGTAAAACAAAACAACGTAACTTTTGAATCGGCGTTCGCGACACAGTTTCAAAGGTGCGATAAGTCGTCACCGGGCGCTAGTATCGCCTTATTGTAAGTTTTTTGTTCCCTCATTCGTGCTGATAGCCTTATTACTTTTTTACCTTACGATTAGAATCGTTTTATATTAAACAATAATTTTCAAGCCGTAACACGTTTACATTACGAGTAATATCAGTATCAATGAGACCTAATTACGGCTGAATAAAACAAGAAAGTAAACTCTATTTAATCAGTTGTTAAAATCAAAATCTAAAACTCGTTTTTCTGAAAGAATTTTAGTACAATGTGCTGTGTTGGATTCGTTGCCATCTTATCTTACATTCCAGTTTTAGAAAGTAAATTCATTGATTTTTTTGATACAGTTCTCTATAAATGTAGGTTGTGTCCTTGTAAGGATTTTCAAACTCGTTTTTTCCACAACAGAAGTCTATAATTTTTATTAGCCTTGACCAGACCAATTTAAAGTCTATTTTTAAAATTTTGTTGAAAATAGACAAATAATTAAAAAAAACCTGTACAAAGAAAATTATTCAAGAAATTATTAAGCGGCTCTCTGACCAAACACTTCGGAGAAACAAATAAAAAACTTGTTAAATCTACGTGTAATCTATCAATCGCCCACAGAACATTTATAGTGGGAGTTGAAAGACTTTAAATACTAGCATAGAATTATGTTATCTGTGCTTAAATTTAGGTATGGTATAGGTTATTGCTTTTAACAAACAAATCAAATATATCAGTTCACGATACAAATAAAGACAAATAAATAGTTGTATAACACTAAACTGAAATGTCACCAGCACTATTTATAAAATGATGAATCTTCGGACAGAGTAAACAGTTAATTTTGATAATTTTATCGTTTAAGTAACGATGTCCCTTATGACGTTAGCACTCAAAAATGTTTTATCCGATTTCCACAGACTTGACTGAAAACATGATGATTAAACACGCCCCAGAGCTGCTTAGTTAAAGTGTTAGATGGCTTCAAAGTTGATGAAAATTTTATTGCAAACTTGGAAACCACCTCCTTCAAGTTACGACATCATTCGATATGTAGGAAGACCACACTATTTGAACAAAAATTAACACTAATGTTTTATGTACAATAAAACTAAGTACTAGTAATAGGCAATATATAATGCTGTTTAGTACGTTAGTATATTTTTACATATATAGATAATGTCATTTGGCGTCCTCATTTCGCGCGCTTAGTGCGGCGGTGCGATGCGGTGGCGTGGCGCGCTGCACGTTGCGCAAGCCGGCCGCGCGAGGTCGCCGCTTGTCCTCATTCGCGCGCGCTCTCCGTACAAATGTCAGGATCAAGGTCGCGAAATATCGAATGAATTTATTCCCTAATATAAATAACATTATTTCCCATTGTATAATTCAATTTCAACGCATTCTTATTCTGGATTTTATTCATAATTTATGTTAAACTTTGATGTCGTGTGTAAAAAGCAGAAAAAAAGTGACCTTGCCAATATTGAATTTGAAATGTTGCTGAATTTGATTGATATGTTAGTAACATAATGATTATTTAGTAAATAATGATGTTGGGAAGTAATCTAAATTTAATAAAATACATCTTATCCATCCAGTTTTATCACAATATTCAATATACATAATTGCAATGTCAGGTGGTTTGAGTTTTACAAGCAAATGAAGGAACCATTTAAATAAAAGACAGTATAATTCTACAATAATTTATATTTTACTATAAACCAATTGATCGCATTTACATTTGCTGTTTAGTAAGGAGATTATTTTCAAATTTATAAACAATATAAAATTTAATAAAATGTTGCATTGGATACTTAGTACATTGTTCAATTAAGGGATTCAGTCTTAACATATTCTAGTACTAATAAATGTTCACGCGAGGTTATGTATGTAGGTATCTTTTGACAATGGATAAGTCAAATAAATTGGACGGCGTAACAAAAACATACATTAAAAACGTCAAGCACTCGATTTAATTTAGATATATTTATAACACTTTAAAGACCAAAAAATGTAATTTAAATGAATACACGTTAATTAAAAATTATAATTTTTCGTTTAAACAACAATTGTTCGTATTAAATCGATATTCGTTTTATTCGATAGTTACGTTTAAATAAATCAAACAATAAATACCAATTCGATATTATCAAACACACAATAAAACATACACACAGACTATCAGCATTATATTTCAAATTCACTCGAAATCATCGTTTACATACAATTTCTTATCGAAATAGATGCAACGAATTTCGAGCAGCAAATACATAACAAATAGATAGATTCAATCCTTTGTATTTGGTTATGTATGAAGGTACGGTTATGTAGGTATTGGTATACCACCAGCAAATACGCTGGTGGTGTTCTAATAAAAACTATTTCTTTAAATATACTTGTACGCTTTTAACCAGTAAAGGTCGGAAAATTACAATATAAAAGTTAAGGGGTACAATCAACTAATTGTTTGTTAGAAAAGGGCTTAGTTTATGTTTATTGCAAAGACAATTTGTTAGTTACAGGAAAATCTCGAACGATGGCGACTGTATTCCTATAAAGTTAAGGGATAATTTCACTGGATGTTTTATATAGAACAGTAATATCAATAAATACAGCCTTTACTTTTATTTTGTGACAAACCTGCATTGTTCGGTAGTGTGAAATGATTTTCCGAATTTCGTCGTATGAGGCAGATTTTTTTACGGCTTTAAAAAATGTCAAACATTCTTATATTGTAATCATTTTGGCATAACCAGGTCGAGATAATGATGGACTAATAACCAATTAGTTCCAATTATCAACAACTTGTATGTAGGTTATATGTGCATTTTTTAGATTAACAAAATATTTATCAACCGAAAAAGAAATGAAATTTTATACATAAAAAAACCAAACCTACATTATCTTATGTAATATTTTTTTTATAATAATATTCGATTATTATTCTTAAGTCATTTTTATAATGGACTTAAAACCATCTCGACTTTTAGAACCATATCGCAAAATTACAAAAAATTCACGAGCAGGTACCTATTATTTCGGGGTTTGTAAGTGAATCTTAAATGTATATGTATGTTTCTGAGCAATTTGAATTAAAAACAGTGCGGTTTTTTTTTCTTCAATGTTAAATAATACTTTGTCGTATTGAACAACATTGCATTATGCAATACACAAATCGTTTAAAATTGTATTCGGTAATGGTGTTGTGGTCGTTTATTATCTTTTGCTGATTCAGCGGATCTTCTGCGTGCGGCGGCGTACACGGCCAGCTTGGAGGGCGAGGGCAGGCTGGAGTCCCGCGGGCGTACTAAAGACTCCCGGGACTCCGCTGCGGGCAACGACGCCGACGTCGGCACTGAGGGCAGCTTGCGCACCGTGTCGTACGGCAATGGGGAGCTACGAGATGCTGTGGATGCTATCGAACCTGATCCATCCGAATCCTAGAAAATCAAAGATTAGTATATTCTTATCTTCCTCTATAAGCAATTTCATTACCCTTATTGAATATTTTGTATGTGAGATATACAATAATGGTCTTCCTAATGGATTAATTAAAGACTAAACGTGGGTTTCTGAGTCCAAAATCCCCGTTTAAAACATATTGTTTACTCTCTTTTGTTAAAGGTGAAATACAGGGATGACGGTATGTTTTATACATAGGTTTTGTCAAAAACAAACGATATATCTGGCAGGGAATGTATGACCTTTATCTTTACAAACGCATACTAGTATCTATTTGTGTTTCGTGTCCGGGAAGTCGTTACGTGCATCGCCATTATCACTTCTGACAATAATTATGAAGACGTCTTGTAATATATTGACTATATTGTACAATAATAATATTTAAAAAATTACATAAAATTATATATGTATCTAATAATATACCTAAGTAGTTATAAGTGTAAAAAGAAATCATATACAAGTGATAATCATCACTTTCACTATGTCGGTGTGGCGGGGCGCAACACGGTTTCTTATGCACGCACATGTCAAGGACGCGGCACACATGTGGCCTGCACTGCACCCACGTCAACAAATAATACGCTCATGTATTGAATTCGTCTCAACGTTAATTATACTAAGAAAAAGACACGCCAAACGTCATTATGATGCTAGCCTTAACGGATACATATTTACAACTTTTATAAACGCTTTGAAATTACTATACTTTATTGACATAGCTTTAGATCGCTAACATTAGTTTGCTACCAATCTGCTAGTCGATCTTTTTCTCTTTCCTTTGCAAATGTATACTGTTAGGAAGAAAATCTGACACTGTGCCGATGTACTGGCGCAACACTAGCCTTACTAAAATGTCGACGCTTATGTCCCCTCACTAATCATTGTGACACTTGACTTTGTAGCGAAAGCACGCCATTCGCGTCAAAGGATTCTAACTAATAATGTCTAAAAATAGGAGTATCTTACCTTCCTGTTGTTGTGTTCAAGCCTATCGTATCTGGTGTTCCTGGCGGAGGGCTTGCGGGGTGGGCGGGGCAGCGCGGAGGGCGGCGGCGGCAGGCTCGCGGCGCGCGTCTGCTGTGAGGCACGCCCTTGCCGCTCCAGCAGCAGTGCCTCCTCTCCGCCACCACCACCCCGAGCGCCCCCAGCGCGGCCCCCCACACCCACACCACCCAGACCGGGGAAGCAGCATAGACCACGCTATGGGTATACCACATATCTTGGTTATTTCATCAAAATTAGTTATTCGTAATTAGTAGAAATGGAAGATGAATTCGATCGATTTGTCAACACAAGTAATCTGTATTCTTTGTTAGGAAAATCTCGCACAAACGAAAGCATAAATATTTACTTACCTATATGGAAAAATGCTTCACGCCCATAATTTGGTAAGCTACTCCAATATGAGGCCACATAAATATCACGAGCACACATCTTTAAGTGTGACATACGAAAAATTAAGTAAATATATTTTTTTCATCTCTTATTGGAGCAGTGAATTCGTTATTTCAATGAAACACTTCAAACAAAGCTAGGTTAATTATGAGGCAACAACACTCTAAATGCAGCCTGCAAAACATTTTAAATGAAAACGGTTACATTTTTCCTTGTAATTATTTTTGGCGCAAAAAAGCTGACGTGTTAGGAAACTAGTAAAACTACAACAAACAAAACATCATTTTTTATTTTTTAAACATGCATCCCTTTTTTAAAAATATATCGATTACAAAATTATTTTATTTAAATAACCTTTCTTATACATTGCATTAAAACATCTTAACTTTAACCAGAAAGCCTCGGAAATATACGAAATATGAAGAATACATTTTGTATACAAAAATACCTTAAGTTTACCTTTTGTATAAAAGATAAAAAAGGCACTGTAAAGAAATAAGCTGCCTAAAAAATACAAATTTAGATAATAAGGTATCAAGATATACTATTCCATAGGCTTAAGGAGACAATAAATACGTTATTAAAAAAAAACTTACGCCTAACTTACATTATATACAGTGTCAAAAACATAAGGAATTTCAAACACATCTGGATCCCAAGTTTGGTATTACTTAAGTGACCAATGTTATATAGATTATTTTAATACTTGACAAAAGATCACTTCGAGTAATTAGTTGCTAGGACTAGTGGAGTATTCGCGAGATTCCATTACTCAATATTCAATATTATTGGCACTGATACTTAATATATACCACCTGGATACTACATGTATACCAAATGTATACTATATACCACCTGTATACTACTTGTATACTAAATGTATACCACCTGTATTATAGAACACCACATTAAGGCACATTTAATATCGTCAATTAAATCAAAATATTACATACAATTAATGATTATCAAATTCTTTAGACCTTTTAATTGTAATTCGTAGGTTTTTTTTTCAGCAAATATTTATTTAATAATGTGTAAAATACAGTTATACAAAATCCTATAAATGTTGTAATAGTCAATACTTAAAATATAATTTCAAAAATTCAACAAAATTAATTTATAATTCAATTGTTTGTGACATTATTTTTACATAATAAAGGGCGAATTGTTAGAAAGCTTGTTAGAATCACTTCACACAAATATAAAATCACACAAAACACGGAAGCTCAGTATTGAAGGAATGTTATAATGAAATACCAGAAACGGAATGTATACGGTTAAGTCTGAATTATACGGACTAGTAATATATCGCATGAACATGTTTGTTGGTTGAAATTAAAGTAAAATTAACGTATAAATAATACAAAATATATTATTTTCTTGTGACCCAAAAGTAAAATGGCATTTTAATACTTATTAAAGAGATTTACATCTATTTAGAAATGAATCAAATATAAATGTAAAGATAAATAAAAATAGTAAACGTATTTATGTAACGCACTATGAGTCGCGTATTTAGACGCGTTAGTAGAAACGAGGTGTAAGATAGCCCAGACTATAGTGACCAGCACATAATTTAGTAACGCCATGTCTAGTTAGGGGTAGATGAGTGCGTAGGGTCAGTAGTAATTGTGTCGTGTCGTGTCGCAGTTGGCGGGGGGCGAGGTCGCGGGGGCGGGCAGGTAACTCACGGCGGGCACGGGCGGCCGTTCCAGTCGCGACTCCAGCGCCGCCAGCTGCTCGTCCAGTCGCAGCGATGTGCTGTCGAAACCGCAACCTGCAACAAAACACACCAGATACAAAAATGTTTAACAGTGCAATGAAGGAATCTTAGGTCTGTGAGCATCGGCTACTTCGCCATTTCGGCTAATTCAGGCTGTACAGACAGACCTCTTGCCTGTTTGCCACCCTATAGAAATGAGCGAGAGAACCCTGTAAGCAATTGAATAATTTAACTACAATAAGTGTAAGAGTGAGTGAGACGGCATTATTACCGCTGGCGTTGTCATTGTGCGGCGAGTAGTTCCTGCGCGCCAGATGGCGGTAGCGCGACACGCCCCCTCCCACTGAGCCCACGCCCTCCGCGCTGGAGAACGACGCGCCCGATGACAGGCCCACTGCAAGAAATATTACAAAATAATATAGATTTATCTTAATATATTCTTAGTCTCAATATTCACCAATCATAAATTATTTTCATTGTTTTTAATTTCTAAATTTGAGCTAAATTGATCTCTTACCCAGTTCCTCCCGGCTAGAATTGTTGCGTAAAGATGCACCGCTGTCGTAGGCGGCGCTAGTGTGTTTCTGCAATACTTTGATCATGGCGTCGCGTTCTGCCACCTTAGATTCCAACTCCTTCACTCTGCAACATAAAAAATCATTTTGCAAACATTAAAAAAAGCACATTTCCAATCATTATGATTTATCGCTGTCTAACAAAGTAACAAATATGTCACTTAATCTAAACAAAGTAATAAATAGACGTGTCTATGTTTGTTACCTGCTCTCTAGATCAGCTACCTTCTTTTGTGCGGAGTGCAGCTCGTCCATGTGCCGGATCTTCTCGCATCGCGCCTCCGCCATCAGCCGCTCCGATTCCGCTGACGTCTTCTCCAGTGCTGCTATTTTCGCGTCTCTAAACAAAGCGAATATCGACATTATTTACAATCAAGTCTATTTAGGAATAGAATTATTACAAGTAAAGTAAACAAAACACATAAAACTAGTAGATGGTGTACTTAGGTATGGAGGCCGCGGACACGGCAGCCTGTCTGAGCGCCGCCTCCTCCAGATAGCGTTGCTCCCACTTAGCGCACTCGCCCTCCAGAGCCAGCAGCCGCTCGTCGCGCTCGCGCACCTGCCGCCGCAGCTCCGCCTCCCCGGCCCCGCCCCCAGCCGCCCCGCCCACACCTCCACCAACTCCGCCCCCGCCACCGCCGCCGCCCACTCCGCCGCAGTTACACTCGCGCTTACTGCACACACAACATATACACTTAACTCTTTCTTATACACCCCATACACTTGATTTTTTACTTATTTTCCGTCCTTACTTGTATAATTTAGCAAATTGAATCGTTTTTTTGTCCATCCATCGGCTGCTTGTAATAAAGAAAATTGTCAGACAAAGAAAATAAACATTGTTTACATATTGGACAATATTTATATGAATGTGTGTATATTGGTGTAGTTTGTACCGCAGAGTCTGCAGCTCCTTCTCAAGCTGTGCGCGCAGCTTGCGCTCGGTGTGCTCGCGGCGGTCGGAGGCCTGCTGCAGCGAGGCCAGCGCACGCTGCAGACCCAGCACGCGCTCCACGTACCCGCTCGCGTGACGACACTACACACATATATATTGCATTGCAATTCCTCCATCTACATTGTATAAAAACTTTATATTAACCCTCACATTTTTAATCGGAAAAGTACAGAAAAGAAAATGAGAACTAGAAATGAGACACGTGAACAGAACAAAGAAGGAATGGTAAAAGGTGTCAAGACATAGAATAAGACAATAAATGGAAAGAGAAAGAGAGAGATAATGAGATAGGGAATGTACGTACCTCCTCCTCTAGCCGTACGACGTTTGCCTGCGCGTTGGTGAGCGCTGTGTCGAGAATGTCGATGTGCGTGCGCTGCTCCTGCAGCGTGGCGCGCTGTGCTGCCATCTCTATCTCCTGCCGTTCCTTGGCGCATGCCAGCTCCTTGTCTAACAACATAATTATCATTAATTAATCATTATCAACATATAAATATTAATTATTCACAGATAATGCGTATCATACTTTGTGTGATGAGCTGTGCGATGAGCATCTCTCTGTTCTGCAACTCCTTGCGCAGCGCTTCCGCGTTGTTGTCGCTCTCGTTACGCACGCCTTGCGATACTAGCTCCACCTAGACAATTGATAAATAGTCTAAAAAGGTTTGTCACAACATTTACAGCAAAACATATAGTTTATAAAAAAGTTTATTAGTAAAGTAGAGCTGTAAGGACCAATAAATCACCATCACTTATAGAGACGATGATGGCGCTAGTGTCATACTCTAGTGGTAGCTGCTACTCGTATTGGGGAATGTAATCTGTGGACAGTGTGGGTACCTGTTGTTTGAGCGCCCTGTTGAGGTCTTGCAGTCTGCGGCAGTCCGCCTGCAGGCGAAGCCGTGCCGCGCGCTCCAGCCGCTCGCGACGTTCACAAGACCCCACCAGCTCCTCATGTGCGCGACGCACCTTCTCCACCTCCTCCTCCAACTGTAAAAGTATAGTAGTAAGCTAAAATGAACAGATCATCGGACGTAGAAAACTTTATACTATACTAAATTTTGATTAATGTTGTAGCTACCTTTGTGGTCTTGGCGACGCGCTCGCAGGCGTCAGCTAGCTGCCTCTTCAGCTGGTGGTTCTCAGCGGCGAGCGCGTCCAGCACCGCGGCGAACGCGTCGTCTGACTCCTCCAGCGAGCCCTCGCCGCCGCTGCACCACCCGCTCGACTCCGACCCGCCCGGCACCGCGCGCACGCCCACGCCCACGCCCACACTGACATATAGCCACAGTTACAAACAATATAATCTTCATGCGTTATGAAAAACCTTAGCCCTTTAGACTTATTTCCCTGCTTTATAAGTCGAAAACTAACTATTAGAATTAAAATGTTAAAGATTGAGACACAAATTTATTAAAAGATTATACAACTATACCTGGTGAGATCAGGTTGTGATCTGGAGAGGCTAAGTTTATCCTTGCTGAGTTTGTCCTTGGCACGGTCGCGATGTCTCGGGGAGGTGCGGGGCGAGGTGCGGGGCGAGGCGCGCGGCGAGGCGGGGGGCGTGGGTCCGCGCGGCGTCGGCGACTGCGCTACCTCCTTGGCCAGGTGCTTCAGTACTGATGACTGGTTCAGGAAGTCATCTGGGATCTCCGTTATTTCCTATCATATTATAGCTACGTTACAATTTAGGGAGAGATGAAAATGGTCTAGTCGTAATTAAAAAAAAATTAAGGTAAGGTTGACAAAAACTCAATTTTCGAAAAAATCACTTACCTGCACCCCGTGATCCGGTGGGCTAGTATAAATCCTCTGACCACCAATGTCAATATAGTTAGTGTTAGTTGTTACAGTTTGTTCTTTATGCATCTTAGGCAACGGTATGCCACTAGGTTTCTTCCCCTCTGTTTTCTTTAACGTATGATATGGAGAAGATTGTGTATTAGGGTGTTTAACCTCACTGTTTGTTCGTTCGTGTTCTCTAGAAAAAAAATACTTTGATATTGTAGTTTACAATGATTTAAAGTCTTTTTTATTGACAAACATGATTATATTTATTAAATAAATTCAAAACTAATCAAGTGGAAAAACAATTGAAATATTTCAGGATATATCATAAATACTTATAGAATATTTAAAAAAACTGACCGAATCGGCGTTGGTCGCGTCGGCCAAGAATCGTCCTGATTATGAATAATAAGTGTATTATAAGAAGATGAAGAAACATCTAAAGAACTTCTATTGCTGTTCCCACCTCCCACAGAATCTTTCAGAGAGTTGCGATTGCTGCCTGTGACACTTTCCTTAAAATAAATAAACACAATTGCTATATAAAATAACTAGCTGTCGCCCGACATTCTCACAGCTAGGAATTTCAAAAAAAAATTAAATAGTAGATTCCATGCAGCCATTCTGAAGATAACTTCTAACAAAAATCCATCTATCTATCCAAACATTTGCATTTATAATATTAGTACAATAAAATTAAACTCTTGGTTCATATAAGCATGAGGCTAACTATACAAACATGGGAAGAAATATGTATTTATTTACATCTTTGCTATAATGTCTTCATGTAAAAGGAATAAGATAAACATAAAATTCAATGTTCAACTTAGGAATATGAACAATATATCAATTCACACAAGATCATTAAAAAATATTACCTTTAATGAGTTTCTATTATTTCCATTGTTGTTCTGACTTTGATTCTCTTGACCCTGGGGTTCAACTCGAGCAGTATGCCGGACGACATAGCGCTCCTCTCTTGACAAGTTCTCATTTGATGTGGATACATCTGTCTCACTTCCCGACAGACTTTGTGGGAAACCACTAGACACTGTCAAGTACATAACAGTATCAACAACAATCAGATTTTAAAAATTCAATGCAAATATAATAGTACTCTAGTCATTTTTATTGAAAATTTAACAGTGACATGAAGTAATAAAATGTTTCCAATACTTACCAGCAGCATGAAAATCAAACCAAGTGGAACAGACAAAATAGTAATAAAAACACTATAGCTCATTGTATAAAGATACAATTATGTATATGTAACATATTATTATGTTTAATATAAAACAAAGATAGATACCATAAAATTTTATTGTTCTAATTTAGTAAACTATACAATGTTTAATGTTCTATTCACATAAAATGACATAATATAATTTCTTTGTGCACTCTTGATCACATAGATTTTTATAATGTAACATATGTTTACAATAACACTATTTGACAGCAAAAGTGAGAGCATTACCTTATTATGTTCGTATATGATTCATAACATTGGAATGCTATACTTAAATTCTACTTTCGTAAATCACATACTTACCAGGTTGTTTCTGTGTCCTTTGTATGTTGTTCGTGAATGAAAGGAAACGTCCCGTTGGACGCATGGACCCCATGTTTAATGATTTATGACGATATCAACAGGAAACCATTTCACACTACACCAAAACTTCTACAATTCGACTCTTCAATACACTATGTTTGTAACATCTGCAAGTTAAGTCACTTTTGTTTATTAACTCATGAATAAAAATAGAATGTAATAAGAAATACAAAGTACGAATACACCAAAGGCAGACACATTGTAAATTGTAATTCGTAACCGTGGTTATTTAGATCACTCTTTGCCGTTCATCTAACAAAGAAATATGAACACTGTGTAATTTATAAGCTTAAAAGTAACTTACAATGGTTGAAAGATTTTATTTTATATCAAAATATATTACATATTTCCTTAAGGATTAATCCGATTGCTGAAATAAGTGAAATTTATTGGGATTGGGTGAACCAGCTGTCAAATAAGCTACTTTTTCTTTATGATTTCTCAAACAATCTGTGCTCAAAATACAGATTATAACAACAGGAACTGGGGAACTCCGAGAGCTGCGTACAAAGAGTATATAAAATAGGAAAGAGTATATAAAATAGATAGAGTATATAAAATGGGAAATAGGAATCAAAGGAGTAAATAACTTTACTAAAAGTGAGCCAAAAATTCCCAAGTTCTTACCATCGCCATTGTATCGTTATCAACAAAATTTGTGTTAAAATTTTTACACCACCTCACGCATGGAGGGTAAAGTTAACCAAAAATTACACATTAACAGCATGCGTATTATTTTATTGAATTATGAAAATGTCATATTTACCGAATCCCAAAAGTTACTCCTCGAGTTCAATATTTTAATCTACTCAATTGTTACCTGACAGACAGTTGACAACTTGACGTTTAGTAAACAAATGCTTTGGATTTATACGATTATAGAAATTTGGAAGATTTAAAAACTTTAGGGAACCATTTATAGTTTGGGCGAGGCATATAATTATTTATAAAATCACAAAGAATAGCTTAGTGTTGTGTCCAAACTTACAAACAAATTACCTGAAAATGTCCCTAAGGTTTTTTACTAGAATGATTTTACCAAATACAATTAATAAGTTACAGATGTTAAACATATCTGCATATAATTTAAACAAAACCCTACCATCCTTGCGTAAGTTACTTTTTATCATGTAATTTATGACTATGAAAATGACCGTCTTATCGCTCCTATAATACTAGTCATATCCACTATTTCTTTAATTTTTTATTGCAGGCACATCAAGCCTAAATTTGCCGATAAATACGAACCAGTCAAGGCGGTTATACTCTGAAGATGCCAAACTTCAAGAAATGATTGTAGACTGTGAATATGTAAAAAATGCTACATCAAACAAAAATATTTTAATTGTTGATGTTCGCGAACCAGATGAGGTCAAGGAACATGGCAAAATTCCTAACAGCATTAACATTCCTTGTAAGTTGAAATTCTAATACAGATTATAACATAGTATTGATGTGTAGAGTTGTAAATAACAATTTATTTTTTAAATCTGTTTCCAAGTGGGAAATGTAACAACTGCTTTAAACTCACTATCAGAGAAAGAATTTGAACAAATGTATGGACAAAAAAAGCCATCGGAAGATAATGAAATAATCTTTTACTGCATGATTGGAAAGAGGTCTGGAATGGCACAACAAAATGCTTTAAGTGTTGGATATAAAAAGTAAGTTATGTCTGTAATTTATATAATTTTAATACTTTACTTTATTTCATAAATGCTTTTGTTACAGTGCTAAAAATTATGTTGGAAGCTGGACAGATTGGACAAGTAAAATTCAGTAGATTTAGATTTAGCAGTGTTCTACTTATTCATTTTATATATTTGAATAACAAGTCATTTATTCACAAATATGAAAAATATTATAATGAAAACTTTTGTTATTTAGAAAGTGTATATAAAATGTGAATGCACAAGAATAAAACCAAACTTTAGAATATTAAACTATTGTTAATTTCATTATTGACATTAGATTATGGAAGCCAAACTTTTTTTTAAACATAACATTAAATCATTGACACACCGGGGAATAATAGCAGTAGAACCTTGGTTCATAAATAAAATATAAAAAAACAATTGATGTTTTTAATTATTTTATTGGTCATATGTATTCATAAATAACACCAGCACCATGTTTATTCTTATTATGTCATATTATGCTTTGTAAGTCACAAAAAAAAATATGATTATTGCTGTCTACTAGACCAGTCATTCCAGCTACCCAGGTATGTTTTTGAACTGAAACAAAAAAAAAACATTTATGAGCAAATTGTTTAAAAATATTAACTATTCAAAATGTTCCTTTTTCAAATATGCTTTTATTGAGTTTAAAATACATTTGACCTAAGATAAGAGTTTATAAAAACAAAGTAACATGGTAATAATAACAGTTGGCAGTAAGAAATGAGCACATATTTCACATACACAACTAATTATGTTATTGTAAACTGTCAACAATTTTCTCAAATGGCAACCCAACCAGCCATACATGCACATATGCAATACTCAATTCTTTGCCTTACAGCTAACAAATACAAAGCATAATACATACTTGGAATATCCAAGTTTCAAAGCTTTATCAAGTGCTTCAGAGGAGCGTCTCCCTGACTGACAGTAGAAGATCAACTCATCAGATGATGTTGGCTTGCTCCGTTGGAAATTCTTTTTGAATTCATCATCAGACATTGATGTTAAAACATTTTGTACTTCACCCACTAAATACAGAAAAATAAATATAATTAAACATAGCCAATGTTCATAAAAACACTTTCTGAGTAGTGTTACTGCAGCCTGAAGTAGCTACAAGGCTTTACTTAAAAATTAAGCTTTCTATAAATATGTCTGACTTCTTCTTACACTGCTGCTGAATTAAAGTTTTTAATACCCATGATTCGTTTTTTAAGGCATCATTTCAGCCACTGCAGAAAGTATAGCCCACAACATTTTATATAAATTAAAAACTATCTACTATTATAATTATAATAAATAAAACAATTACATGGAATATTTATGCTTGAAGGTATCTTTCCAGTTGCCTTTATTTCATCTATATTTCTTACATCAATGATAACCTTTTCTGGTTGTTGGATCACCTTCAGCATGTCTTCGTAACTCACCACTCTCTTGGGATCCACCATTGTGCTAACAATTTCTTTCTTATTGCTGTATTCTTTTGATTGCTGTGTATATTGTAAGGCTAATGTGTTACAAGGCTGTAATACACCTAAAAGTATAGTTACAAAGTTGCTAATATTCATTATGTGCATATAAATATAGTAGAATTGAGAAGCATGTCAAGCATACCACACAACATATATTTCACTAATATAAAATTTTCCTGAAGAGTTTAAAATAGAGATGAAATATTAAAAAACACATAAATCGCTTAAGATCCAGATAAGGATCTTAAGGTTCATTAAAATAACCTTTTTTTGAAAACATGATTTGAACTACATTGTCCAAGGCTAATAAGAATTGACTAAATCACCATATTTTATACTCTAGCGGTGAAGAGAATAGTAGCTAACATCACAATATAACATCGGACCTACCACAAATAAATATATAAATACAAATATAAGTACATTTTCCAGCCCCCCACGATGTTAGAGTTTTCGCAGCATATTTGACGGAAGCTATTAAAGCTGCCATAGTTCAAACCACCAATCAATTACTCTAAATCACACAATTTCATGTATTCCACCCTTTACACACAACACAAACAAAAAAACACAATTTAAACAATAAAACAAGTAAACATGCCACGACTGATTTACATTTAAAAAGCATTTATACCTGCAGACCACTCGCATAAAATATTATTTATTAAATGAAGAACACAATACAATCGAGGTGAGTCTTTTTATGTTTACACTTTATCTTAGCGAGAACCAGAATTGAATTTGACAGTGATTGGTGACATAAAGTCGCAGTGTCATTTGTAAAGGAAAAATTCAAATGTCAACGAGTACAAAGAGTACTGCATATAGGATACCAGATTTATAACAGGACTTAATTAACTTTTAAATATTAAGATTGGTGAAATATCCAAATCCTGTTCTCCACCAAATCTGCATCTCCTTCCAAATACTTCTACCAGGAAGACGTGAGAAAAAAAATAAGTGGATGAAAACTAAATACTTTCATTTTACTTCTATATTGCGTGTGGTCATGATATACCCAGCAGCTGATGGACTCTTTCACTATCAATTACATTTATTGACAACATTATTTTGTTTAAGTATGTAGACAACGATAAATGTACTTCTTCGCCATACTACTTACCTGTTTTATAGGCTAGTACTCAGTTAATCTTAAGTTTTAAAAGTTCAAATAAAAGACCAGTTTTTATTTAATTTTTAATAAAATAAAATACCAATGATTACAAAAATACCTTTTTATGTATATCAGTCTTGATGATTGATAACAAAATTTATGAAATAAAAAATATATTGATTAGCTTATCAGAATTGTGATAGCAATATTTAAAATTACTTATAAATATTTTCTCAATGCCAATTATTTAATTATCTTTACAATTAAAACAGTCGAGTACTTAACAATAAAGCAAAAATCGAGTATATGAATAATAAATGATAATTGAAAATTATATAAAAATATCTCTTACAGGCAATAGAATTTAATTTAAGATTTACTTTTTTATCTTAATTTTAAAACACTGGTCTATGCATTAATTAAAATCTGTTACAAGTTTTTGATAAGAAAAGATCTTATGACAGGAATGTGGCAAAATTAAAATTAATACATATGCTAATTTTTTGCCACCTTTTCAAAATATTTTTTCTTTTCAGCTGGGTTAGGGATAATCTGCAAAAGAAACGAATTTCAACGATTAGTAAATCATACTAATGTTATAAATGCGAATATTGTGATGGATGGATGTTAGTTTGAAGGTATCTCCTGAATGGCTTAACGGATCTTGATGAAATTTGGCACAGATGTAGAACATAGTCAGGAAAAACATATAGGCTACTCATTAAGCATTTTTTTAATTCCATGCACACAGAGCCACGGGCCACATCTAGTTTAAAGTAATTTAATAAAATACTTATAGGAATTTATAAAATAATGTAAATGCTTATTTCTGTTTAAATTTTCTTTAAAATATTATAAGTTAACTCACAGTATCTTGGCCTGGTTTCCACCCAGCTGGGCATACTTCACCATGTTGGTCTGTGTACTGGAATGCTTGTACTAATCTTAAGGTCTCATCCACTGAACGGCCCACTGGCAAATCATTCATGGTGATCTGTCTTAGTATACCTTTGTCATCAATGATAAACAAGCCTCTGAGAGTGTGGCCCACATCTTCTAAGTACACTCCATAATCCTTAGCTATAGAATGTGTTAAATCACTCAATAGAGGGATGTTTATCTTTCCAAGACCACCTTCCTTGCGTGGTGTATTTATCCATGCCAGATGTGTAAAGTGTGAATCAACAGAGCATGCCACTACTTCAGTATTAATTTTCTTAAATTCTTCAATCCTTTCCGAAAATGCTAAGATTTCGGTTGGACAAACAAATGTACTGAAATTAAGAAAAAGTTAAGCTCTCATGTCAACTTATAATGAGTCAACATTTCTATGTATTAAATACTTACAAATCCAAAGGATAGAAGAAAAATACTAAATATTTCCCTTTAAAACTAGATAAGGATAGCTGTGTGATCTCTCCATTAATAACTGCAGTTGCCTCCCACTCGGGCGCCGGTTTGGATACTTAAAAAAAGTGTTATATTTTATAACATATCACTACCTCATATAGAATGAAATTTAAAATACGTACTCATTGCTTTAGTAAATTGCAATTTGTGATCGATTTTCCTAGCACCGCCGGGAAATACATTGCCACTTCCAAAGGAATAACAGGAATCACTTTCAAATATAGACGAATTACAAGTATTTATTGACCATATTATAAATAATATTGCACTACATATCGACTTCATGTTAAATTAGTAGAAATATCCTTTAAATGTTTGAGAAAATATGTAACATTAATAATTGCGAGGATCACATTAACCATCTAATCAGCGACAACGACACGTTTCTGATTTATGAAATAGTAACAAATCCAGTTCCCAATCACAATGATAATAACTGTTAATACTAGTGAAGTGACTATTACAAAACAATCGATATTTACGAACCATTTAAAAAGTAAATTAGCTAAAAAATATTAAGAAAAAAGCAATTCATTTTACATACAATTATATACAAAGGTCAGAAAAAGTTTGAATTAACCTGTTCGGATTTCAAAAATAACCTAACATATTTACTTACTTAACCACGTATATTATAAAATTTAACAGGTTTGGTTTAATGGTAAAGTCGAAAGTCGATAAAACGAAAACTTCACTATTTTCCGCTGTCAGACAGACACACTCTATGCTTAGCTCAGATAAAATAATTCATTTATGAAATGGCAGAAATACCACTGCCATTCGAAACAAATATTATTTTGATAACGCAAATATTCCGAGAAATAGAATTTTAACAAAACGTAGTCTTGTAATCGAATTTATACTAATTGGTGTGTAATAGTGGCCTCATTTAAACACAAGTTAAATTATTGTTAAGTTTAAGTAGTGAAGTGGCTTCTGGCTACACCGATGTTTAATCTTTGGTTTTTTCTGATTCGCATTCGCAGTCCCAAGCGAATGTCGAATATTATTTCTTTTGAATATTATTTTTATCTTTTAAAACCACCAAGAAAAATGAATTATTTCATCATTTTTAATATAATCTCCTGAGTTTGAAGTAATATCGGTCCATCGCAACTTTTTGCGGTAAGATTATAAAAGTTTCTTGGTTGGATCCACTTGTCGTTCATTATGGCGGTCTGATTACATTACTTTATGTTTGGTGTCATGTTGTTCACATTTTAGCATTCTGTAAAGCTAAAATGTTTCTATTGTGTTGAGTGCATAATTTATAATTTCCTGTTTTGTAGATGGACGTACAAGACGAAGGTGTTTTGGATGTTGACTTACTCCCTGACGATGGGTCAGACGATGAAGGTGAAGCGCCGCCGTCTTCTGGTATGACATTTTGTTTACAAATTGTCCCAAAATTATGGTTACTTATACAATTTTAAAAACAAGTGGATTTCGTTTCGTTTATTGAAAGTCACGTATGCTTCAAACTAACTAGGAGCGAAATTGCGTATATACTGTACTGGTTCATGCGTATATTAAGACATTCCGTTTATTATTTACAAATAGTTTGCCAAATTAAATTTACTAATTTGTGTTATTTAAATGTACAGAAATGTTTAAAAATAAACTATCAAACCTTTTATACCAATTATGATAATTTTCTTGTTTGTTATGGCACCATTATGTTAAGTTGAGAGGCTACTAATGTTGTGTACATCTTCGTACACCAAAATCTTCATATAAAAATAATTGTTGCAGATTTCTATGTGGGGCCTGGGTCAACACCAACATCATGTGCATCATCCCCACGTGGGGAGGAGCCTGCCTCTCCACATGGGGGTGCAGCACAACCAGCATTTTTTCACCACCAACCATATAGCCGACCATTCTTTACATCTGTTAGAAGAGGCCCCGGTAGACCACGGAAAGAGGGGCCTAAGTTAGCGAGGGAAGGAAAAATTGTCAGAAGGTAAATTACTTTAATGAAATTCAGAAAGTTATTTCATTTCAATATGTAGCCTAGGCCTTACTTCTTTTCTTTTAATTTTTTTTAGATATAGAGGAAATCCCGGTTCTTTAAGAGGAGCAAAACGACATCGTACTAGCCGTGATGATGCTCTTGATGAGGTAATGGATGAGGATGACTTCACCATGCCAGCACCAGAAGAACCACCCTATATGCCTGAAAAATGGTACAGTGTGTTTAAAATATTTTTTTTAAAGTATTGTTAGTATTTTCAATCTTTAGGAGATTGTAAAGGCCTGTTTACATCATCTGCTTCAAAATAAAATAGATTTTTTACATGTAGGAAGAAGTTCTGTAACTTTGATAACTGATGTAATTATTATACACAACAAAAAAGTCTAAGGAACACTCAATAATTATGTCAAAATGTTTCTAAAAATTGACATAATTAATAATTAGTATTTAAATAATTGTGTTAGTAAAAATTTAAATAGCTGTTTTTTTATTAGTTTGTATTTTTAAAAAGTGCTATCAAATTATTTTAAATTTAATATTATAGGCCTGGAAAAGTTTGTGCTCTCTGTAACCTGAGCGAGAGAAGTCAACTAGGGCAGGGTGAGATGCGTCAGGTACCATGTAACATTGAAGAGGGTGATGGTAGTTCAACACCAGCTATAATCAATTCTGGAGGTGCGACGCCAACAAGCATCTCAACACCAAGCACACCAACTTTACCAATGGCACCTGGGCTATCATCACCTCCACCTGAATCAATAGATCCAATGCAACAACATTTAGCTTTACCATTGAGTAGACGGCAGAAGGCTTTTAATAAATGCAAGTAAGTAAACAGTTGATCCCTTACAATTGTCCTAATTAGCCTTAATTTCAAAAGAGAAAAATATAGAAGTTGTTATGAGTCCTAATTAATAATACTATCTAATTCATTGATGTATATTACATCCTATATCCTTAAGGGTAGCTGATAAAAAAACTTAATTAGTAGTCATGTTCTTCCGGACCATGTTCTACATCTTTACCAAATATCAGCTAGATTCATGCAGTTGTTCTGGAGATACCTTCAAACAAAAATCCATCCATCTAAACATTTATAATATTAGTAAGTAGTAAGATTTGTTTTTATTTTAGGACACCACTGTTCAACATGGAGCACACAGATGAACTTTCTATCATTGGTTACTCAGAAAGTCTGGAACTGCCATCTGTTGTGTCTTCCAGTGCATTGTACATACACAGATGTTGTTTGGAATTTACTCCACCCTTTCAGGATCAGGTATTTATATTAACAGTATGTTATTTTTCTTTATTGAGCCTTGTATAAAATCTTGTGGTCTATAATTCACATTTTCTGTTTCTGGGTCATGTTTAAATTAAAATTGTATGATAATATTGATTTAAATCTTTGTCACTAGGTGGCGTCAGCTTCTAACGATGAAGATAAGAGTCAGTTAGAAGAAGCAAGAGTGAAAGGAATTGTTATTAATGCTTTATCAAGAAAGTGTGCCTTTTGTCAAAAATATGGGGCAAGCATTCCATGCAAGGTAAACAATATCATTTTATTAATTGGAAAAATAATATTTGATAGAAAAAATTGTTTGCTTATCGAGAGTTTGTTATTTCAGATGAGCTGTAGTAAATTTTTCCATTTGCCCTGTGTCTTGGCCTCGGGAGGTTTTATTGATTTTCATACAAAGTCATCTTTCTGCAAAGATCATTTATATCAAGTGCCACTTGTTTGTAAGTACTACTCTTTATTATTATATAGCTGTCGCCCGCGACTCCATCCGCGCGGAATTAAAAACAAACTTAATATATGGCTTATGTGTTCCTTCCAATCTATGTACTAGATCAATGCCAAATTTCAGCTAGATCCATGCAGCCATTCTAGAGATTCCTTTAAATAAACATCCTTCTATCTATATTAAGCTTATAGTGTAATATAATCTATTGAGGGGAATTACTTAATATGTTTGTAGTCTTTATGTACTATTCTAAAAATTTATATTGTCAGAATTTTTATAAAAAGGTTGCCTTAACTTAAAAGTACAAAAAGTTTTAGCAATGTGTCCTGTAGTAACATATAATTGTTTACATTTCAATTTTATGACAATTTTATTGTTTAAACTTTAACCTTTATACTTCTTAGGTACTGCTGATATTGAGTGCAGGACATGTAGAACTATTGGTGACATTTCCAACTTGATGACCTGTGTCACCTGCGGAGGACATTACCATGGAACTTGTGTAGGACTCGCTCAGATGCCAGGTGAGTTGAATGGACATAGATAGATATTTTAACAGCTTTAATTTTGAATATTATGTTTTATTTTTACTTGTTAGAAGAAGTATAAACTGCAAATATAAAAAATTTAAAAAATACATAAGCTTACTGTTAATATGTTTATGTTACTTTAAAGCAATCATTAAAATTGCTGATTGGAACACAATTAAATGAGAAAAGAGATAATTTTACTAGGTGCCACTTTGTCTTCCGGTGAGATGCAAGTTTATATTTCTGTTTGTGCAGGAGTACGCGCGGGCTGGTCGTGCCGCGGCTGCCGCGTGTGTCAGGTGTGCCGGGGCGAAGCGCCAGGCGACGCACGCGCCGTGGCCTGCGAGCACTGCGACAAGCTCTACCACGCCGCCTGTCTGCGCCCCGTCATGGCCACCGTGCCCAAGTACGGATGGAAGTGCAAGGTGATATACCATTTCATACAAACATAATATAATCACTCATTTAGACAATTTTTTTCTCAAACTATTTAGTATTGTTTCATTTTGTCTCAACACAGTTTATTAAATACATTTCTATTTATGATTCTCGTGTCACATGACAGGATCGCCATATAGGGTTAGTCGGGATAAAATAGTTTATATTTACATTTGACAACAAGATCTCATTTGAGTCACTTGTGTAGAACCATCGTTAATGTTAATATAATTTTAATTTCTCAAATTTGTTTTGACTTTTGTATGAGTAACACACATGGTAGCGTAGTGGAAGTAGACCTTAACTTATTATATATTGATGGCTACTTGTCAACATATTACCATTAACAAGTAATTAAGCAATGGTGATGTTGAGTTCGTTTTTGGGTTAAATGTTTCGTTGTGCATGCTAAGAAATGATTTGTGTGTTAGTGCTGCCGCGTGTGCTCTGACTGCGGGGCGCGGTCGCCGGGCGCGGGTCCCTCATCCCGCTGGCACGCGCACTACACTGTGTGCGACTCCTGCTACCAGCAGCGCAACAAAGGCTCCTTTTGCCCTCTGTGCCGGCGGGCGTACCGCGCGGCCGCTTACAGAGACATGATACGCTGTACTACATGCAGAAGGTAACACTAACTTACCTGTTATTCATTATTTATATAAATTCTTATAACTATGGGCTCCCCTGTCGAGGAAACCCCTCTTCTCTCTGGAAGAAATAACAGAAACAGAAATAAGTTATAACAAAGCTTCACAAACAAAAAGAGATTCTAAAAATTCAAACTTAAAGAATTTATGCTTCAATTTACACAGGATGCAGTATTGAGAGTATGATTTATATTTTATTAGTGAAAAGAATTTAGTTTTTTTAATGTTGCTGGATATTACTTTAGGTACGTGCACGGCGCTTGTGACCCGGATGCAGAACCGCAGCAGTACAGGCAGAAGAAAGACCAGAATCCATCCTATGAGTATAATTGTCCCATCTGCAAGTCTCACATGCAGATGTCTGGCTCCAAATCTGCTTGTAAGTAAAATACAAAATAAAAATTATTTAAAATTTTATCCATATTACTAAAGATTGGAAAAATTTTTCAACCGAAGATATAGTAATATTTATGTTTTAACAGCATTTGAAGACGATAGCTTGACCCAAAGTGGTCAAGACTCATCATACGGCGAGGAAAATTCACAAGAACAGGATCCTCTAGCTATTGAACCCAAAGTAAGATTTATTTTACTTTTAAATTGTAATAAAAAGAAATAATTTCGATATTTTAAATCTGTTAATAATATAGCCTTTGCAGCAGGCGGACGTTGGTCTCGGGAAGGGCAAACCATTTTCGGTGTCATCGAAAGTGGCGAAGAAAAAGATCGGCGGATATAAACTGAAGGGCGGATTCCCTCCAGCGGGTAAATTAGGCTTCCAAAAGCGACAGAGAGCTGTGCTCGATTTCGGTCGGAAGAGAGGATCGAAGCCTAAAATGAGAGGTGTCTTTGGTGTTCCGGGTTTAGGATTACAAAGACCCCAAGCCCCAGATAATAAAACTCCAGAAGATGACCCAGGTATTTATAACATAAATAATTTTATCTTAATATCTTCTAATATTAGAGTCCATATAGTAGAAATTTCATTTATTGTTGTTTTTGTAGGTGTAGAGAATAAACTTGTCCTATGTTCGAGTAAAGACAAGTTTGTACTGACACAAGACTTGTGCGTGATGTGCGGCGCCATCGGGACGGACTCTGAAGGCTGTCTCATAGCCTGTGCGCAGTGCGGGCAGTCATACCATCCTTATTGTGTTAATATCAAGGTGTGATTGCATTTATTTTAAAAATATTTAAAAAAGTGTAGTATTGGATATTTGCTAAGCTGTTTTTCTTTGGCGTAAACAGCTTAAATTTTAATGCCTGAAATCCTAACTACTAACTACTACTTAGAAAGAACGTTAGTTGTTCTGTTTAAAATTTATAATATCATTAAAGAAATAATGGATTTATGTTATTAAAGAGTTAAACTTTTTTTAGTTCACGTGGTTTAATGTATCCTTATGTTGTAGGTGTCCCAGGTGATAGTAAGTCTGGGTTGGCGCTGCCTGGACTGCACGGTGTGCGAGGGTTGCGGTACGCGCGGGGACGATGCGCTGCTGGTGCTGTGCGACGATTGCGACACCGCCTGGCACACGTACTGCGCGCGACCGCAGCTCGCGGACGTGCCGCGTGGCGCCTGGCGCTGCGAGCGATGTCGCCGATGTCGTGTCTGCGGCACCAGGGACACGCTCGCCTGGCGCGACAATTATACCGGTATAACACAAACGTTATATTTAAACCGATACCATAGGGAATAAATATCATTAAGTTCCTTTAGTTGTATTTAGTAACACTGTTATACTAAATTAACTATAATTTGTATGTAAAATCTACTATATTTTTAATGTTTATATGGACTTGGAGCATTTATTTATTTGTTTGTTATAATTTGTTTTAATAGTTTCGTCGTACCGCAATATAGGTACTTGTTTAAGGTTTTTTTTGTTGGTACTGAATGTGTGGTGTTACGTGTGTCAGAATGTGCACCGTGCGCGTCGCTGGTGATGTGCTGCGTGTGCGCGGAGCCGTACTCTGACGGCGAGCTGATCATCCAGTGCGAGGCGTGCCGGCGCTGGCTGCACGCCACCTGCGACAGCATACGCAGCGAGAACGACGCAGAGATATGCTGCCGGGCAGGGTTAGTAGTACTATTAATTTTAATAGCTCTAACACAAACCGAAAGGTCATCACGATATATGTGATCATATTGTACAATTTAATTTATGAGCATGACTAAGCAAAACTAATTCTATCCCCGACTTTACTTTTATTTATATAGTGGTTCTTTTTGATATGCCGATAGCCTAATAGTTAACTATTCGACTATTTTCGTTGCACAAGGCTAGTAAATTTTTAGTTATAATAAAATATATAAAAAAAAAATATTTTATAAAATAAAATATATGCAAATGATTTACATGCATTTTATCTGCCCTGTAGATATAAATGCATAATGTGCCGAGGTCGCGAGGTACCACCACCGCACGTATCACGCGCGCTGCCCGCGCCAGAGTGTGTCGGGGGCGGGGGCACGGGAGCGCGGCTGACGGCGCAGGCGCTCGGCCTGGCCGGCGAGTACTACGTCGACGATGTCTGCCTCTCACAGCGCGGCGCACACCACATGAAGCAGCTCGAGGCAGATATGGGCATCACGCATACAAGACGCAAGAGACGCTTCAAGAATGAAAATGCTGAGAAAGACGCCGGTGAGATATTTTGGAATACAAATATAAATTTCACTATAAATATAAGTTTATGTGGGAAAGATCGCGATGATAATCAATCAAGATCTTTCTCATGGCATAATTTAAATGCTTTGAGACGTTTTGTTATTTAGAAATTTCAATATAAGTAAATTGTGTTTTTCATAACGTCAGCCCCTAACGTAAAACTAAAAATATTCTTATTAATTTTAAGTACTTCAGTTAACTAAAATAGTTAGAAGTCATAGCATTATTAAGTTTTAGTTAAAATATGGCGGAAGTCTAACTAAAATTTTTCTGTGTTGGTCGCTGGCTTTATGGACTAGAAATAATGGCATCTATTGAAACAGTGGTTCAGAATGCAGACAACGAGTTGGCCGAGGATTCCAAGCCCGACAGCACAGCTGAAGTCAAAGACGAACCCGGTATGTCCACTTTATATTTTAACACACAAAGTAAACTCGCCAGGCGAGTTGGTCACACCGAACATGTCGAATGACTACATAAATTCAATATAAGGATAATAAAATGACTCGCTCTATTCACTCAAACAATGTATCTTGTTTTTGTGTTTGAATTAAAATATTTTTGCCATAGGATTAGCATCTAATACAAACTACAAAGAAGGTATGCTTTGGAACGTGGCAAGCGACGGCCCACCGCCTGAAGGATTCACAGTGTACTCTATAGAATCTGGTCTCACTGTGCTGAGAAGAAAACGACAGAGAAACCTAAACAAATTGGGCATTGGCGGCTTCGTGGTGCGACAGAGACAGGCGACCATCAAAGCGCAAGCCGACGATGACAAAGATGGCGACGGCACACAGGCGTCAGGAGGTAAGGAAATATATAATATAGAGATGTCGCTGCGTCCCGGTCCGCATGCATTTAAAAAAAAACTTAATTAGCAATATATGTGTTCTACTATGTATTTATGAACCTTATTGATGCTTAAATCAATAAAAATGTAATTAATAGTGGGTATTATTTTGTGATTTAATGCCGCGAATTGTTAATTTTGCAGAATCGCCAAGCAACAAGCGAAAACCTCGTCGCAAGCCTCGCTCTAAGCTAATGGAACAGTTCCCGTCCTACATGCAAGAAGCTTTCTTTGGCAAGGATTTACTCGAGCCTGTCAAACCCGCTGTCAGTTCTACTGGTAATATTTTTATTATCTACTCTATATTTACACCTTTAGTACTTTTTTAAAATTTAAATAACTTGTTTTACATATTTAAAGATTCAATAAAATGTAAAGACATCCCTTAACACATGTTTTTCGTTTTATCCTTACTTGACGAGATTAGAAGAAAATGGTAAATATTCTAATTTTTTAATAATTTCACCTGTTATATCACATACACTCATATAAGAAATGCTAACCAGTCAACTGTTGACAGGCAATCCATCAGAAAGTCCTGGCGGGTCAGTACGTGGAGGTACTCCGGAGGGTTACCGCGAGCTGCGCGACTTCAAGCTGGACATTGACAACTCTGACAGCGAGGGCGAGGACGTGCTCGCCGCGCTCACCAGCTACAATGACAATGATACTTCCTTTGTTATTGCACTCAATACGGTCAGTATGAAGACTTACTCCTGTATTTGGTACTGAATATCTGACATACAGTCGAACCTGGATAAATGAGATCTATAAGCTAGCTAGCAAGAAAAATATTGCGGTCCCTTGGACTCTCGCTTATATAGGTTCAAATGAATATTTACTTACATCTTTCAAAACATGTTCATTACATTGAATATGTTTTCAAACTATGTCATTCTTGTTAGATGAAATCAGATATTAGTGTCATTGAAAATGTCCAATCTGTGAATCTCCTATTACTGTTTCTTAACTAGAAGAAGTTTAGCAATGAAGTCTCTGATTAAGAATTTTACTACAGTGCTTATCATTCTGACTATTCACTGATCCATTATCTCATTTTAATATACTTATTTTTTTTTCATAAATAGGAGGAACTCGACCTATTACATTCTCTGAAGCCAAAAGAGGAGAAAGAAGATCTATCGAGCAATATTAATTCAGACGGCACAGCAAAGATAAAGCTGGAACATCCAGAAGACGGACAACTGAAACATACAGAAGACTCCACAGCACTAAAGAATGCTATCTTAGGCCCTCAGCCCAGTGAGGCTGAACAGCCACCTCCTGCACCAACGGAAAATATACCTACAGTGCATAGTACTAAGACAGAAACTGTTAGTAGCGGTAAGTTCATTAAATAATGAAAAAACAAATAAAACATGAGTTTAAGTTGGCATTCATGTTTTTAGTTAATTTTCAGTACCTGTTGAAGATTTATATTTATATAAAGTGCCAATATGGTCTTAGCCTCTTTTTTCCAAGCTTTGCATAGCATAATACGCGCGTTTTTGTACTCATAGAAAGCAAAGTATGAAGCTTTGATATTAGTCAGTGAGGCGCAGTGATACTTTCGTCCATCCTTATCTTCTAGTGACTTAGCGTTAATTTAATATTTAGAGACAGGAGGGTCGTCGCAAGGGTCGACGATATCGCCGAAGGACGAGCTGTCACTTCTGGGTGTCAACCTGGACGCAATGGTACGCGACACGCTGCCCGACATGGACGGCAATGACGTCGATGAAATATTCAAAGGCGTACTCACTGATGACTCACAGGTAATTACTATGGACTATTTCAAATATTTTGTGCCATGAAAATATATGACACATCTTTGTTAAAGTCTTTAATAAATTCGGTACTAGACATTATTCAGTGAAACTTGTCTTATAGCTATTTAGAAAATTTAACAATAATCGTTTGTTTTAGGAGTCGCAAGAATCGTCTGCATCGTATGTGAACTCAATGGCGAGCACGCCGTACTCACAACAACGACAACAGCTGCAGAGTCCAATGGACTACGCCTCACCCTATCACAATGATTTTGGTAGCAAGTAAGAATTTCAAAAATATAACTTTTCATTGGAATTCATATTCATGGAACCTATAAAGTGTATTCTACTGTTGGTTTACATTTGTTCCTGTCGTATTCTAGTGGTGGATTTGATTACTGGACTGGACTAGTGTAAACCAGGCGTAATTTTTCACTTATAATTTTTATAAAAAAAATGTTTTTGTTGTAACGCATACAGATTTTGCGCATAAAATATGAAAATTTTATTTTAATATTACATATAGACACTCCAATTTTGAAGCGTTCTGCGCTAAATAAAAACATTGAACTTAGCTGAAATGGTACATGAAATATTAGTAAAATTATTAAAATGTTATAAATAAATTTACCTGTATGGGTTAACAGCATTAAAATTGTATGTTTAACACAACAGCAGCAGCAGCGCGCTGAGCCCGCTGTTCTCTGAGTGCGGGTCGGGCGCGTGGAGCGAGCAGCCCGCCGCGCCACCGCCCTCCTACAACCAGCGCAGTGCTGACAAGATGCGCGCAGACGAGAGTCAGTCAAATATTATATTACACTCGCATACCTTGTTTCACAACACCCTCTCTCGCTCAACACACGCTCACCTCGCTGGCTAGCTAGTATCCTATAATATGGTGATGTCCTAATTAGTCAATTCCACTTCGCTCTACTCTTGACATCTTCAATCAATGTCAAATCATTTTTCAAATGGTGTTCCAATTTCAGTATAATCTAATTACCTACAGCAAGAAATAGAGCCTTACTTAGTTCATTAATCTATTTAGTTTTATTATATATATGTTATTTAATTGTATATGTTTATTTGTAGGTTTAGGATCAGCGGCAACAATATCAGCTGTGCTGTACGCGAACACCAACCATCCAGAATGGAAGACCGAGTTCCCCAATTGGGTGGACCGGTGCAAGCAGATACTTAAGAAATGGCGCGCTTTACCCTCCGAGCAGAAAGCGCCATACTTGCAGCGAGCAAGAGATAATCGCAGCGCAATAAGAATGAAGAAAGCACAACAAGTAAGTCCGCTTTCCGTGTTTAAGATGTGTGTGCTAACCCAACTCACTTACCACTGTGTTTACAATGTGTGCTCTTCACCTATGCTTGTTCACATGAAATATTTGTTGGCAAATTACTACAACTAAATATTTTAACACAACTATTAAATAAAACAGTCATGATATCTTCTCGGCTTTAGTGATAATGGAATTGTCTGTTTTTCCTAAAGAGAATGTGCGGGATGACATTGTGTCAGTACAATGTCACTGAGCTCGATCCCCATAGTAATGTTTGCAAACAAATATTTTGGTGATTTTAAGCTATAGTCATTTTAATTCATTTTACCTTAAATATTTTATATGTTTTTTATGAATTATTTAAGGTAATATGCATTGATATGAATAGATTAGAAACGGTATTTGCTAGTCACTACGGAGTGATGTTCAATAAAGGCTGTGGATTCTGTCGCTTTACGCTGCAATTTTAAATGCACTTGTAAATAATATACATAGTCTAGATAAAGTTTCATAATCATTAGAAATGTATACGGCTAAAACAAATCTTATGTTTTATAGCCTTATGTTATATTTTCATGGACAAGTGTAATTGTAACAGACAGTTTTGTTTAAAAGCGATAGGATCTACAGTTCTTAGTTTCTTCTTATTTGTCTTAGGAAAAATATTATATCTTTTGTTTTGTATAATTTTTTTTGATATAATTTAATTTTTATATAAAAAGAGCGAGTATTTATGTATACGTGTATGTAATATATTCAATATACTGTAAATTTTATTAAAAGTGCATTTATCTGCGACTGAGGAAACACATTGTACTAACGTTAGATATAAAATTCATTGAGATGTATGTTTTGCTATAATTTGAGTCCAGCATAGTTGTCATCTATAAAAAAATATATGTACGGTTTATATACGAATATTGTGTTTTAACTTGTCATATTTTTTTAGAATCAATGATTTTGTAAATATGCTGATTTTATTTATAACGTACAATAAGTAATCGGACGCGGGTTTCGTCTCGTTTGTTGGAGTTTCATTCTTACGACACGAGCGCACCGTGTGTGGCCACATTCTAAGAGTTACGTGCGCGACAGAGCACGGGCGGCACGAGCGACACCGAGGGAACGAGCAGCGTGACCGCCCCGACCGGCGTGGCGAGCGTGACTGGCGTTTCGAGCGTGCCGAGCGGCGTGACGGTCATGCCCACCGTGCCGAGCGTCGTGACAGGCAGCGTGACGAGCGCGGGCCCGCCGGTGCGCGCGCCCAACGTGACGG